GGGGGGAATGACATTCTGACATATGGTGAAAGGGGTGCATGGGGCAAACAAGGTTGAGAACCACTGTTCTATATGATGGGAGAAGTGGTTCTATGGCCAAAAAAAAAAATCCATTCAATTTGTATATGTTTCAGATCTTTAACTCTTTGGCTCCAGGAATTTTCCCCAAGTTGAATAGAATCATCTGGCTGTTTTAACAGCAGCTATGGTGAAAACAAATTTATGTCTAAAAATCAAGTAGTTCCCCTGCCTACTTTTTCAAGTCGTATACTGTAAATGAAACATTGAATATTTCACATTGCTTGCCAAGAGAAACACTATGATCCATCCTTTTCAGCAGCTTTACTTTCTCTGTTATAGTCAGTGTGTGTCTTCCCCTTGAAGGAACTAGAGCCAGGAGTATTTACTGGTTGTTAGTAAGACATTATGTACTGTACTGTGAATTAGAGGTAAACAAACTCTGGGCTGGGAACAACAAGCACACAACAATGTGCTGTTAATTGGGAGTTGCTGATTGATGGAATACTGGATAAGAGAAAGTCAACCTGTGTATGTTTACAGTGGGGTATGCTATAACGAACGTAATTGGTTCCAGAACCTCGTTCGTTATAGCATTCGTTCGTTATAGGATTAATCCGTTCCAGGCCCCCAAATACAACCACTTCACACTGAAAAAATTCTGTGGAAAATGTAAAAAATACGGTACTTTATCTTACCTTAGTGTTGTTCAGCATGCAGGACAGGAGGCAGAGGGGGAGGGGGGAGGAGAGAATTATGGAGAAGAGGTGGAAGGAGAGGAGTCATCCTTCCTAGCCCTCTTTGGTGACTGTCTCACAGGCACTTTGTCTGTAGGTTCTTTTGTTACCTTTGTAAAGAAGGAATCCAGGGTTGGCTGCTTCAACCTTGATTTCTGGACCTTCCAAAAGTAGTTCATAACATTGTCATTGAACACACTGATGGCCTTTTGCACAGAACCAACATCAGGATGATAATCCTCAGCAAGCTTGGACAGTTTGCTCCAGCAAAAGAACGCATCCTTGAGATCTTTGGCTGGAATGATGCGGCTTTCCTCCTTGTCCTCCTCCTCCCCTGACTCCTCAGAAGTTAAGCTCCGCTTCAGTGTCTCGTTTTCCTCTTTGTGAAGCTCAAGCAGCTCCTCAGTGGACAATTCCTTACTGTGCTCTTCCACCAACTCCTCAACATCATCATCATCCACTTCCAGGCCCATGGAATTGCCCAGAGACACAATTTCATGAACAACAGCCTCTTCTTCTAACTCTTCGAAGCCTTCAAAGTCTCTTTGAAGGACACATTCAGGCCACAATGGCCTCCAAGCAGCACAAAGACACCTCACAGTAACCTCTTTCCAGGCTGAGGTAATTAAAAATACAGCATCTGCTATATTGAAGTGACTCTTCCAAAATTCCTTCAAGCTAACATCACTGGAAGAAGTGGACGCAAAACATTTTCTAAACAGTGCCTTTGTGTACAACTTCTTAAAGTTAGAAATTACCTGTTGATCCATGGGCTGGATGAGAGGTGTTGTGTTGGGTGGCAAGAAGTGCACAGTGATGAAGTTCAACTCCTCTGGCAATTCAACCATCAAATTAGGAGGGTGGGCTGGTGCATTGTCCATCACCAACAAAGCTTTCAGTGGAAGATTATTCTCCCCGAGGTGTTCCCGAACACTGGGTCCAAACACCTTGATCACCCACTCAGAGAATAAATTCCTGGTCACCCAAGCCTTTGGGTTTGACCGCCACATAACACCAAGGCGGGTCTTCCTAATTTTTTTGAAAGCTCTGGGGTTTTCTGCGTGGTACACAAGGAGTGGCTTTATTTTGTAGTCACCAGAAGCATTAGCACAAAGAAGGAGGGTAAGCCTGTCTTTCATTGGCTTATGGCCAGGGGCAGAAGTTTCCTCCTTGGTAATGTATGTACGGCGAGGCATTTTTTTCCAAAAAAGTCCAGTTTCATCACAGTTGAATACCTGCTGAGAAACAAAGCCTCCCTCGTTAATAATATTCAAAAAAATGTCATGGTGTTCCTTAGCTGCTTCCTTATCTGCACTAGCAGCATCACCATGTCTCACAACACTATGTATTTTATTTCTCCTTCTGAAACCAGTAAACCACCCCTTGGTACCCATAAACACTGGCACATCACTATCACTTGCACTGGGAGTCTTGGCTTTAAGGTTCTCAAACAATTGTCTGGCCTTCTCACAAATTATAGCTTCACTAATGCTATCACCTGCCATTTCTTTCTCCATTATCCACACTAAGAGTAAATTTTCCATCTCCTCAATCACATTACACCTTGCTTTGCTAAGTCTAGAGATTCCCTTAGCCACTTGCACTGTTTTCAACTCCTCTTTATTCTTTAAAATCGTACATATAGTCGATTTAGCCATCCCATACTCATCACTAAGTTTCGCAATGCTTCTTCCATCCTCACGTTTCTTTATGATTTCTTTCTTAGTTTCAAGAGTTATGAGCTTTCTCACTCGCTTTGGACGATTCATTGTCACAATTGTACACTTGTATAACAAAATATTTATACAAATAACTCTATTTCCACATCAAAAGACGAAATTTCAACAATAACAGTGGTGCACTGGCTACACAATGAGACAAAGATGGCGCCTGACGCTCTTGTTGTGGGTCGCGGTACAACAATATTCATGCGCCAGGCGAAATAGTCCGGTATTCATCCGCGTTGGTTGTAGGAGTTGCGTTCGTTATAGCATTCTCAATTTTATAGGTAAAACCGTTCGTTATAGGAATATTCGTAGTAGAATCCGTTCGTTATAGCATACCCCACTGTATATTTTATTATTTTTTAATGATTAAGTTCATTTAAGTTGGCTCTTCAGTTACAATTCGAACTGCACTAAATTTATTCTTGTTCAATTTTAAAGTAGACAGAATCTATTATCATACCCTTTAGATCAATTGTATGTTATTTTTCTCATGAATTTTACTAAACAAGCCCTTCAAACAATCTGCTTGAAAATGGGATACTGTACTGGACATATAATACAACATCCACTGAGGTTGCCTGCACAATAGAGAGCTTGAAGTTAACAGACATCTGGCCAAAGAAACTGGGTAAAATATATAAAATTATATTTAAATCTATATTAAATACATTGGCATCAGAGGTTAACTATATACTGTACTTTAATTAAAAAAAAAAAAAAAAAAAAAAAAATATATATATATATATATATATATATATATATATATATATATATATATATATATATATATATATATATATATATATATATATATATATATATATATATATATATATATATATATATATATATATACACAGTATTACCCGCCCTAGCGGTTTCACTTAACGCGTTTTATCATATACGCGGTGCCTCGCCAGAGCTGAACTTTCACTTAACACGGATTTTTTCCACATATACGCGGTGAGTGTCCGGCTCGAGACGCTATTTTTAGATTTGCCCCACCCGCCACTGCCTGACTGCCTGTTTAGCTCATAAAATTCATACAAATTACCCGGCCAGAATATAATTTACATTGCTGGAATTCTTATAATTTGGTGATCATTTTGAATATAAACATCATATATTTTGCATTAAACATACAATTTTTAGATAACAATTTTTCTCTAGGTAACTATGTTATCTTTTGTGCAAAATATATGACATTTATATTCAAAATATTCCTGGTCTTACAAGGAATCCAGCAATGTCAATTATATTATCCTAACTTTAGTTTGAGGTATTATTTATTAAAATTTAGTGGTTATCCCACACATCTCCTTGGGACGGTTGGTGGGGGGTGGGGGGTGGGGGGGAGGGAGGGACCGACCGACCATCTGTTACCCTGTGAAGAATTATTTTTTTTTTTATTAACTGAAGATATTTGTTTTAGCTCATAAAATTCATACAAATTACCCGGTCAGAATATAATTTACATTGCTGGAATTCTTATAATTTGGTGATCATTTTGAATATAAACATCATATATTTTGCATTAAACATACAATTTTTAGATAAAAATTTTTCTCTAGGTAACTATGTTATCTTTTGTGCAAAATATATGACATTTATATTCAAAATATTCCTGGTCTTACAAGGAATCCAGCAATGTCAATTATATTATCCTAACTTTAATCTGAGGTATTATTTAATACTAAATGTTAAAAACTCTGGAAGGGAGGATTGGTGGGGGGTGGGGGGGAGGGTTGGGACTGACCGCGCGGTTGGAAGAGGGGGGGAGGCAAGGTGGGGTACTTTGATTGACAGATAGTGTCGTGAAGATTATTTTTTTTTTTATTAACTGAAGATATTTGTTTTAGCTCATAAAATTCATACAAATTACCCGGTCAGAATATAATTTACATTGCTGGAATTCTTATAATTTGGTGATCATTTTGAATATAAACATCATATATTTTGCATTAAACATACAAATTTTAGATAAAATTTTTTCTCTAGGTAACTATGTTATCTTTTGTGCAAAATATATGACATTTATATTCAAAATATTCCTGGTCTTACAAGGAATCCAGCCTAGTTTGAGGTATTAAGCAGTGTAGTGTGAGAGGGGGAGGGAGTTGAGTCCATTATTTGAATGGACATTAACTTGGCGACTGTATTTCTCTATTTCTCTTAAGTATTAATTGTGTGCATGTACCATCATAAAATTAAGATGTTATTTTTACTACAACATAGGTATGTGCCTTCAAAAAGTGGAGTTTGGGGGTCGGGCCGGTTTCTATTGGAATTAATCCCATATGTTCTGTTGTTCACTTAACGCGGATTTCACTTAACGCGGGACCCTCTGGGTTCAATTGACCGCGTTAAGTGGGGTACAACTGTGTGTGTGTATATATATATATATATATATATATATATATATATATATATATATATATATATATATATATATATATATATATATATATATATATATATATATATATATATATATATATATATATATATATTACTCGGGTTTCCTTTACTGTTTATTGAAGAAATGGCAAGTTCTCTCACATCAACAACAAATTACCACTCTGCAGTCATACCATCTGGCTATTTTTCTCATGAAATACAAATAATAATAATAATAATATGTTCAATGTTAAACTTAAACACATTACTGTATTGCTTCAAAAATCACTGTAAGTACAAAAATTGCCAAGAATTTTTTCAATCACTGATGCAGCAGAACAGTTCTGGTTGTGTCTTAACTTTCAACAATTCATAAAATTTTGACATATCAGTGAAAATGGTCTACTTTTGAAGTGTTCATCATAAACATAACTTAAAAACAAATTTCCTCGTATATATTTCTTGCTCTGTATCTATCTTCAGTTGCTATGTTCATCTTTATTTTCTTCGCTTTCCAAAAACTTGCTCCATTTCTTCAATCTTTCTTCACGTTCTGCATCTGTTTCTTCAATTCTGTGAATGGGAAAGAAAAAAAATGTCAAGGTGCTATAAAACGTCTTCTAAAACATTCAGCACACCGGTTACTGATGTTTCTTACATCAGAAAATAAATGAAAGATTGAAATATGAAATCTCATTTTATGGATTTTGGACAGGAAAGAGGCAAGTGAATTCTGAGATTCCCTTTCTCCAAAGAGCTATATGCACTCGAGAGGCAAGAGCACTTTTCTGTGATATTGCTGGAAATTTTTATGTAAACAAATACACCCCCCCCCCCTTGAACTGGGAAATAGCATAGCAAAATTTTGCCCTCTATCTGGTTGTTGGTCCCAAAGCCAGCAAGATAATAAGTACTGTACACTGTGACAAACCTAAGAGGTTTATTAAAGTTCAGCCCTTACATTTTCCTGCCTAAAAGAAATTTCTAATTCATCTTTCTTTCAAAGTCACAACATGGGATTTTAACTCCATTTCTTTGCTTTATAACTGTTTAAGGGTTATATGACAAGTGACAGTTGAAATTCCAAATCAGCTAGGAAAGGGGAGGTGGTCTACTGGTCATGTGTTATGACAACCCATAGAAGCACCCCAACTAGGAAGTGCAGTCAACAGCAAAATTTCATCCTAAATCAATCTGCATGATATGAGGTAAGTGTATGGGGAAGAGTTGACAATATGCTTTAAATGGCTAGTTATTTAAAAATTACGATTGGAGACGTCCTAAGAAAACCTTTATTGTATATAACTTAATTACTCTATAGTACAGGTATACTGTACTCCTGTATAAACCTTAGATTTTTATTTTTATTTTTTTAAATCCAAATTTTTCCATATTACACTCATGTACTGTATAATAATTCAACCCTGGTGTTTGAGAAATACTAGGTATAATCCTAGACATTTTGTAGAAAGACGCTTAGGCTGTGCAGATCATGTGGGAAATTTACTTGTCCCGAATAAGTGACAATTGAAAATTATTTGCCTGGATTTTGTTATGGGAAAGCTAAAGGTTTATAAGAGTCCCGGCCCTGACATGGTGCATCCCTGAGCGCAATGAGCTTGCTGAGCCCCTGAAGACCCTGTTCTGTAAATGCCTGGATGAGCAAAAGGTCCCCAGTGATTGTAAAATGGTAAGGGCGATCGTCACTCCACTAATAACTATAGACAGGTGAGCATTATAAGCGATGCCATAATTAACATCTACTATGAAACAACCTTGTAAAGGATTGCCAACACGGGTTTATGCCGGGGCGCACCTGCTTAACACTATTACTCAAGGTACTGGATATTTGGACCTACCCGGTACTGTAAATTCTGGAACAGGGTGGTAATATCAACAATTTATATCTATATTTTGCCAAGGCTTTCGACAGTGTACCCCGTTAAAGGCTAAAAATTAAAATGGAAGGGTACGCACCCTAGCTGGGTCGTCCCCCCACCCACCTTCCCTCCCTACCAGAGAAGCTTTGGGAGAAAATAGTAATTTACATTTTTAGTAATAAATAATAACTCAGACTAAAGTTAGGATAATATAATTGACATTTCTGGATTCCTTGCAGGTCAGGGAATATTTTGAATGTAAACTTCATATATTTTGCACAAAAGATAAAATACTTGCTTTGTGTAAACCAAATTATTACATTTGATCTAAAATTTGTATGTCTAATGCAAAATCCATGATGTTTATATTCAAAATGATCATCATATTGTAAGAATTCCAGCAATGTAAATTATATTCTGGCCGGGTAATTTGTATGAATTTTATGAGCTAAAAAAAAAAAAAAATTATACTTCACCGCGTATATGAGTAGATGCACCGCGGAAAGTGAAAGTCTGGTTCTGGCAAGGTACCGCGTAAATGAGAAATCGCGGAAAGTGAAACCGTGTAAAGCGGGGTAATACGTATATGAGTGATGGTGGTAATAGTCTTTTTCCATATACAGGTACAATCGGGGTCAAAAGTTTTGAACACTTAGCAACATCTGGCATCTGCTTCTGAGTTATACATATATGATTGGATATTAATAACACTACTTGTCATCACTTATTATGCCTGAACTGCAAAATGGGATAAAACTCTCCTTAATACTGAAGATCTTCAGGTACAGTACTTACATGCCATATACTGTCAAGTGTTCAAGAGTTTTGGCACCTTACTGTACATTCAACAATTGTCAGTTATTTGCAAGTGTTAAATAATCCTGGCTGATCATGAGCGTGCAGCCATGCGTCAACAAACAAACAAAGCATTTCTCTTCTTTATCACAGCTCTAAAGGTCAGAAACCTTGTCTTGTATAATTTTCCCCTTCTCTTGAATGAGGCTACCTAGAGCACTACGCTGTTTAAAAGACGGCGGTACGCTACGTTCACAGTTGTCCATATTCCCCGTGCAGTGTTGACTTGCGGCACACCAACCGCCAACAACCCGTTGAAACATGATCTTCAACACAAACCTCACAAACACCAGAGAATAATAATTTCTATATCCCATAGATATCCTCTTAATACTTTCATGTTTGTTTGGTCATATGATGTGAATTTTTTTTTTTTTAGTGTTGGTTACTCTGTGTGTGTGTGTGTGTGTGTGTAATAATAATAATAATAAATAATAATTAACGGTTTATTGAAAGAGCATGGCAGCCGGAAGGCTGAAAATATACAGTTGGGGAATGGGTCTCTTGATTGACAAATAATATACGATATATAATGACTAGGTGGGGAGAAGGTCAAACTACAGGACATTTCAACATAGTGACAGTGCAAAAAGGTAAAATTGACTTCGAGTGAATACACTGGTTGATCACAAGTTGTTGATAATTTTTACAATGGTTGGGACTGGGCTGTTCTTATAGCGATCAGTACGTGCTCGTATGGGCTGGATGCAGTTGTGTTGTTGAACAGCAATTCGCGGACGAGGGATCTCGGGTGGTAGTAGGAGCCGGTGTCAAGGATGGTGCAGAAGCTTTCCACCAAGTTTGCAGATGAGGTCATGGTGATGGTCAGAGAGCGCCGAGAGGGTCAGTGTGTTGAGCGCTTCTTGATATGTGGATAAGGAGGGGGAGAGAATAATTTTGCATGCCCTCTTTTGCAAGTTTTCTAGGTGTTTACATTGTGTGGCATTTAGGGAGGAAGACCAGGCACGGGAGGCATGGGTGAGCTTGGGAAGTATGAATGTTGAGTAACAAGTGAGGAGCTCGGGCGCAGGAACTCTGAGGGACTTGAGTCGGTGGAGACGGAAACTGGAGGATTTGACAACTTCACTGATGTTTGTTTTCCAATTTAATTTATCTATAGTGATGCTGAGGAGCTTAGTGGAGTCTACAACCTGGAGTATGTTGGGGCCTAAAGTAATGGAAGGGGGTGGGACAACGTCGGAGGAGAGATGGATGTGCATAACCATGGTCTTGGTATGGTTGATGGTGACATGGTTGTTGGTGGCCCGATTTTGGAGACTGTTCAATAAATCTTGGAGGGCAGTATAGTCGGAAGCAGAGTTGTTAACACTGATCCCAATGGTGGAGTCGACATATTTCCAGCGAGCAGGGGTTTCTCTTAGGGCATCATTGATGAGCATAAGGAAGCAGAGCAGTCCCATCTTGGTGCCTTGGAGATGCCACAGGTGAGTGACTGAAAAGTGGAGACAGCCTCTCGGAAGTGTACGGCTTGGCGTCGGTCACTGAGGAAGTCTGTAGGCCATGGTATGACTTCTTCGAAACCCAAGGTCGATAGCTTTGTTGATGATTAAATTGTGGTCGATTAGGTCAAATGCTTTGGTGAAGTCAATGAAGGCGACAGCCACAGACGTTTTTCCAGATGGCGGTATATGTAGTCGAGAAAGTTGACAAGACAGTGAGTGGTGGAGGAAGTTTTCATATTGCCAAGTTGCTGAGGATCTATGGCACCTGCAATATCAGCATAAGCCTAGTCAAATACAAAACTTTCACAGATTAAGCTGGGTATTGGGGTGATTACAAGAGTCGTAGCTCATTTAAGGATTGTGGACTGGTTGGCTTGGGCACTGGTGACACATATGAGGTCTTCCAGTCAGCTGGGCATCTTGCTTGGCTGAGGGAAGCATTGATGATGGAGCAGAGGGGTTTAGCAAGCTCCGAGGAGAACTCCTTGTAGAGTTTCATTGTTAAGTCAATGGGGGTGTTGGAGGTCTTGAACTTAAGCTTATCCAGACATTTTGCTACTTAAAATTCTTCTACTAAGTCAGTGGGAAAGGGGGCTGGTAGGTAAGCAGGGAGACTGGTTGTGTCAGGCCGGGAGAGCGTCTGGCATACAGTTGAGAAATGGTTGATTGATTGCTCAGCTGTGTAACCATTAATGAATGACTAAGGAAGTGGAGGGGGTGTGTCTTATTGTTTAGTCCACAAAGTTCTTTAAGCTTACCATACCACTGACTGTTGTTGGTCTGCTTCAGGTGTTGCAACTTGGTTGGGTAGTGGGACTTCTTTGCGGTGCGTATTTCGCGGATGGCTTGGCTGTGAAGGGACCTGTAGCGGTTGTGATCATTGAGATAAAAGGCGCTGTCTCTCTGTTGCATAAGTCTTTTGATCCAAGGTGTGATCCAGGGCAAGTCAGCTGGGTGTGATGTGACGGATTTCTCGGGGAAGAAGTGGTGGTGAGCTCCCGTGGTGGTGTTGGTATAATTTATCCATTGGGTATTCACGTCATCCACACAAGGTACTTCATTCCAGGGATGGTGAACTATCCACTGCCCGAAGAGATGCACTGCAGAGTCAGTAATCGGCCTGTAGGTCTTGATGTAGGGTCTCTCCACTTGGGTGGTAGTGGCAGGTGGAGACCAGAGTACTGATAGGTGTGTGCTACACCCGATGGGAGGCATTGGCCGAGATGGTTGGTACTGGTCTGCTAAGTCAGTTAAGATAAGGTCAAGGGTATTTTGACCGAGTGTGGGGAAGTTCACAACTTGTGAGAGTGACAGCTGGTTCTGGATATGAGTGGAGTAAATTTTGTTGTAATCTCTGCATAATACTAGCTTGGCACATGGGTACCTAACTCTTGAGGTGGTAATGAGGTGATTGATAAGAGTGTCTCTGGTGGGTGAGCAAGGTGGATGATATATCACACAGTATATGATAGAAGCAGTATGACGTGGATGGGCCCGTGGCATGACCTGTACCCATAATACCTCTACATCAGCTGGGACTTGAACATCAAGGTGTGATGGGTGTAGTTCATCTTGACAGAAGAGGGCAACGCCCCCTCCGTGTCCATGTGAACGAAGGTGATGAAAGAATTGGTATCCCTCAATGTGGCACGTTTCAGGAACAATTTGCCAAGCTTCACATATGGCAACGACATTGGCAGCGTTTGTGTGTAGTGTGTATTGTGAGTGTGTGAGAAATATTATTGAGGTTATCGAAGTCTGGGTTGTGGCAACGGTGGGCCATCTTGCCAATTTGCAAATATTGCTAGCCCTACCCGGTGAATCTAGATCCCGACCCATGATAGTGCCTGAAGGACATTCTTGAATAATGTTTCCCTACATTAGCTTCGGGTTCCCATTGGTCGGGCTCACCATCGGATATGTTGACTGTGAATACGGGCCCATACCCCTTATTCTTTCTCTCCTATTGGAGTGTATTGTCAATGTGAGATTTGAGGCATCCATTCAAACTAGTAGATCTATTTCTGGAATTGCCTTAATACTTTGGAGGATTGGTAGCTCTTGTACATCCACCACTGCAAATCCTTTTTTAACAGCCAACAGCAGAGGACCCAAAGATAATGTTTTTCTCATTGAGGCAAAGATCAAGAGGTATTGTCTGACTAAATGGTATTAGCCATCATAAATCGGTAGGCCTTCTCTTTAGGGTACAGAAGGGGTGTGCTAAGTGATATACATCATACATAACTCATTGAGGCCCTGTCGATCATAAAAATACAGCACTGAAACAAACTGTGCTCCCAAAATACTTACCATTCTCAATTACTCCAGTCCCAGTAGTTTTCTCAAGAAACCAGGACATAGATGCTGTAAGTTCAAAACCATGGCAAGAATTGGAGAAGCAATGAATGAGTTTCGCATTACTGTATATAAGCAAAGGGGATGGAAATTAATTAATTTAACAGTGGGTTTTCAGTAGGATCATGTTTGACTCTGATTTGAATGGTTAAGGAGCTGCATGCAGAAACAGCTACTTTTTTTTTCAGCCCATTCACTCAAAACCATTCCCTCTCATTCATGCACTATATTCTTTTGACAACCCCTTTTTAACAGTATTTAACAATTCATAATTGGTATAATAAACCAAAACTTTACATACTTAAAAAAACTGAGAATCTCATACATACTTGAATTTTTCCTTTCCGTCCCAAGTTGTCACACGAAGAGTACGTCCATTGTACAGGCGATTATTTAAAGTTCCTACGCACATATCAGCACTTTCCACTTCATCAAATGTTACTTGAACAACCCCCTCTAGGTGGAGCTGCAAATAAGAGATTACATTAAAGCTTCTGCAAAGATTTTTAATCACTTACCTACAAAAATATAATGTAAGCTACTTCTTTCATCTACAGTATGGGTCTCCCTCCCCAATCATGGTTTCTAACTCAAACATTGTAGTAAAATGACCCAATTTTCTCTTTCATGGTTCCAATTCCCACATTTTCTCAGTGGTGGTGCCAAGTTTTGGAAACAGATGGCACCAACATGTCTTATTAGAGGACACTGTTATTGACAAATACTTTTCTTTTCTGCTTCATTAATATTTGTTAACATTATAATAAGAGTAAAGATTGTTTGGAAATCTGAGGGAGCATTTTTATACAGCAGGTTAGGTTCTGGGAAGCAGTTTATAACATAAAAGTGTTGTGACTTGAATGTACAATAACCAAGATGTTCCTGAATACTGGTATATTAGGGAACCTTCAATATTTAACTGACCACAACCATAATATACAGTATAGAGAGAATTTTAAAGAGTTTGCAGAGATTATAATATTACAGTATTACTGCATCTTTCACTTCTCATTATCATTGCAATTTTAGGTTAATTCATTTACAGTGTAAGTATAGGGTATCTATTTGTTTGATTCTTTTGTGTTATCATGACTACTATAATATATTAATTACTTTTTGAGGTATTTAGTGAAGGTAAGCCATTCAGAGGGTAGGTTTATGGAGACTGAAAGTGGTGCAGTAATTATGAATTTGACTTTTTGCATGGGTTTTTGAGAAATTGACTCGCCTGATATGGAACAAATTTTCCCCATTTACATGTAATTGTTTTGGAAACTAGGAAACTGATCACTATCTGGCTTATCAGGATAATTATAGGAAACTAATTCCAAAATCTCTGTACCTATATTGAAGAATATAATTAATGCACATACGTATATTACTTCAAAACAACATAACCACAAAAAACTGCAGAGACCAAATATCAACTTACATCATGAAGGTCTAGTTTCTTGATTTTACCAAAATTTTCACACTGACTTCTCATAGCTTCTTTATGAACCAGAATTTTTTCCATAGCAGTAATAAACTCCTTTGGGTCAAACACATTACGAATTATAATGGTCGTTTCGTATTTTTGTCTTTGACCTCGAAGTGGTTCTGGTCGCCAATCAAATAATCTGTAAGTAATGTAAAACATCATTAAATTTTTCTATCAAGCAATGTTTTTCATTATTTTTAAAATTTAATTTATTTTGAGTTCGTACCAACTAGGTAGAGAAAGAAAAAGTGGGCAGAAAGAAGGACTGTACTGACAGGTTAAACAATGAGAATTCCTCGTATTCCACAATATATAATTTTTATTATTACTGTATCACTCAAATTACAGTACATCATGTATCACTTTTAACTACCAAGAAACCTCTATAGTAACTGATCTAGCATGTGACCTTGACAGTGTGAGGTGAAATCACTGTTGCTGGAATACAATTACACCTCAGGTTTCTACATTGAATAAACCATTCAAGCTCACTCTTGGTTCCAGGCAAGTATTAAGGATCATGGACATGATTAATTTTCTTGAATATGATAAATGAATTCAAGAAAGGGTTAGACATATTAAATAAATTGTACCTCACTATAACTTGTCTGAAATAACTTTGGTATTAGATTGTGCTTTTTGTTTTTATTTATTTATTACAACACTGTGATTCTGTGTGCATTTTTAATTTTTATACAGTAAAGCCCCATAATTCGTACCCCTCAAATTCGAAATCACTCCTAATTCGTAATGTTTAGGTTACAAAATACTGTATTGTATATACAGTACTATTAAATTTTTTTTAAAATATTTTGTAAAATTTCAGATTACTATAAGAGACATTTACAAATACAGTATTTATGTCGCACATGTCACCATGGGATGGAAATGCCTGGCCCGCCTCAGTGTAAACAAATACTATACGCATCACTTGTGTCGGTCAGTTCACATTGGTCAGTTGTGGAGTGCACATCTACAGTCAACCATGCAAGCCTTTTCCACTTGTTTTTTCCCTCATTGCCCAATGTTTGAACCATTATGTCTGATAATGCTAGACCAAGCACCTCAAAAGGTACTGCTATTAGAAGTTTTTAAATTTTGATGGGGCAGATATTTTTTTTAATTATTATAATTTGTAAGGGCTGGAGCCCCTATTCATTCAAATTATGGTATTTTTTTTTACTGTACATGGAAATATTTAAGCTATGTTACAGTCATTTTATTACACGTGGGAGGTGGGGTTTTTTTGATGGGAAACTTTTCTACACTTTATAATGGTAATCAATGGAAAAGTATGATTTGATTTATGATTACAGTATTCAGTTAATAAAATGGTTTTCCTGTACACAACCCTATCCTAGATTGAGGTACATTTGTTGTTATTTTAATTTCTTGAGGCCTTGGACTTATGTTCCTCTGTCTTTCTACGAGACTAATCAGAAATACTTACCAGTATGTAGACACAATTGCCAGCACCAACACTTTAGACTCTCATATTTCCAACATAAAGGACTTACTTTTCTTGTCGTTTCTGAATTTTTTCTAGTAATTTCTTCTGCTTCTTTCGAGGTTTGAGCTTTGGATTGTACTCCCCTTTCTGCTGGAACCTGGCTTGTTCAACATGAATCTTTTTACTGCCTACTTGGTACTCATCAAGGATTTGTATGGCCAATTCCACAGACTCTATCTGGAAACAGTGTTATCATTAGAACTATAATTTTTTTCAAAGAAGCTTAAAGTATCATTTTATAGCTGTGGGTAAGAGATGAATAACCTGCATAATATGTACATCAATTAGAACATGACATTCAGAACCTTCCTTAGACAGGGTGTTGTAACATGTTTTAGTAACAGGCAACAGTATCCTGATTCACAATACAGTATTACCCCGCTTTACGCGGTTTCACTTTATGCTATTTCTCATATACGCGGTGCCTCGCCAGAACCGAACTTTCACTTTCTGCGGTTCATCTGTTCATCTACCCATATACGCGTGAAGTATAATTTTTTTTTTTATTTAGTTCATAAAATTCATACAAATTACCCGGCCAGAATATAATTTACATTGCTGGAATTCTTACACTTTGATGATCATTTTGAATATAAACATCATAGATTTTGCATTAGACATACAAATTTTAGATCTAATGTTTACTCTGAGTAAATATGTTATCTTTTGTGCAAAATATATGACATTTATATTCAAAATGTTCCTGGTCTTACAAGGAATCCAGCAATGTCAATTATATTATCCTAACTTTAGTCTGAGGTATTATTTATTACTAAAAAGGTAAATATTCTGGTTTTCCCACACATTTATCTGGTAGGGAGGGACCGACTGACCATCTGGCACAGTATGAAGAATATGTTTTTTTATTATTAACTGAAGATATTTGTTTTAGCTCATAAAATTCATACAAATTACCCAGCCAGAATATAATTTACATTGCTGGAATTCTTACAATTTGATGATCATTTTGAATATAAACATCATAGATTTTGCATTAGACATACAAATTTTAGATCTAATGTTTACTCTGAATAAATATGTTATCTTTTGTGCAAAATATATGACATTTATATTCAAAATGTTCCTGGTCTTACAAGGAATCCAGCAATGTCAATTATATTATCCTAACTTTAGTCTGAGGTATTATTTGTTACTAAAAGTTAAAATTAGTTTTTTCACCCAACATTTCTCTGGTAGGGAGGGAAGGTGGGGGGTGGGGGGGAGGGTTGGGACCGACCGACCATCTGGCGCGGTTGGAAGAGGGGGGGAGGCAAGTTGGGGTACTTTGATTGACAGATAGTGTCGTGAAGAATATTTTTTTTTTATTAACTGAAGATATTTGTTTTAGCTCATAAAATTCATACAAATTACTGGACCAGAATATAATTTACATTGCTGGAATTCTTACAATATGATGATCATTTTGAATATAAACATCATGGATTTTGCATTAGACATACAAATTTTAGATCTAATGTAATAATTTGGTTTACACAAAGCAAGTATTTTATCTTTTGTGCAAAATATATGAAGTTTACATTCAAAATATTCCCTGACCTGCAAGGAATCCAGAAATGTCAATTATATTATCCTAACTTTAGTCTGAGGTATTATTTATTACTAAACGTTAAAATCTAGTGTTTCACCCAATCATTTCTCAGAGAGGTAGGGGCCAGTGAGCTGGGAAGAGGGGGAGGGGGGGGATTTGAGTCTATTATTTGAATGGACATTAACCTGGCGACTGTATTTCTCTTAAATATTAATTGTGTGAGCATACCATCATAAAATTTAGATGTTATTTTTACTACAACATAGGTATTGTGTCGGAAAAAGTGGAGTTTGGGGGTAGGGCCAGTCTCTATTGGAATTAATCCCATATGTTCTGTTGTTCCATTTACGCAGATTTCACTTTCCGCGGTACCCTGTGGGTTCAATTGACAGCGTAAATCGGGGTACTACTGTACTGTATAACAATTGCTGCATAAACAACCCTTGCTCACCATGATGAATTAATACTTTGAATTGATCACTTAGTGGTTGCTTCAAGTGCCAATGAGACCTCAATTCATTGAGTCAAAACCTAACTTACATTCACCAACACCTCAAACCACTAACAGTCATTTGAGAGATAATGCCTCCTCAATATTACCTTGACAGTAGGAACATTATAGAATCTAGTCTCATTAAACATACCGAATCAGTCAACATTAATTTGAGTAATGGTATGTACAAACTGGATAATTTCGTAATTAAGAAGATTTGTAACCAGGTGAGAAGGTTGGGTCAGCTTACCCACTGACCTGACTACTGACTGCTGCGGTGCTTTTTGAAGATTAGTAGGGTCATTACCTAATACCTGACCATTGTGGACTTGATCTCACCCTCCTCTGTATATATATACCTTGTTTTGTACTTCTCCTTAGTCTGTACTCACCCCTGAAGATGTGAATTACACGAAAGCAATTGGGAACTTCGTGTTTTCTTTTTCCTTGTGGTTATCAGCATATATATATATATATATATATATATATATATATATATATATATATATATATATATATATATATATATATATATATATATATATATATATATATATATATATATATATATATAATTTTTATTTTTAACTTGACATTAACATTATTCAATTGGATGACAGAGGAGATAAACAATGGTTCACTTAATCTTATCATACACAAGACAAGATATCCTCATACCAAAGGCAGCTCCAGTAGATACTACCACAGTTACCTAATATTTTTTTAAGGTTTATTTAACATTTGCTATAGTGTCTTATTAAATCAGTAAATAAACCCAGAAAAGTCTAAATTCAAAGAATTCTGTCCCTGTGAAAAATATCCAGTACAATAGTAAAAAATTATGACACACACACATTACTGATACATCTCAGGTTAAAACAAGCAACACATGATCTATCTTGACCAACTGCCTTCCTTATCTACAATCCAAGTTACAATAGTTGTGTGTGTTAAACAATGAAGGGACATTTCTTATTCATCATCATTCTTGTCCTCCTAAGCAGGCAAGGTAAATGTAATCTTTTCAGTTCTATAACCTTTCTGGGAACAGTAAAGCTCTGCAGTAATTAACTGTGTTAGTTGCATTTAAAAACATTCCCAGTACATAATACTGTACAGTACTATATATACATACATAGATGAAGGTGTATCTAAATCTTATGTGCTAAAAAAATAAATAAATAAAAATTGTGGGAACAAGAAAAACCTGACAAGAGTGGGCAGGAATATAGGAAGAATAAGCAACATCCTTTCTGGATGAAATAAGGAAATGAGGTGAGTATGAGACAACAGATAACATGTTTTGAGGGGCTGTGATAACAAAGACAATATCCAAGGGTTGGTGAACTGACGGCTCCATATGCAATGTGTTCTATCCACACTGTCCTGAATGGGCTGTCAGTTTTATGGGACCCACTTTAATATCATTATGTTATTATCAACATTATTATTTACTAGAATTTATATACTGTACACTTATACTGATGTATATAAAGAGACATTATCATTACCAAATTTACAAGTGTAAAGACACTGTCAAATGTTTTTACCTTCCAATATCAGTATTCATATGTGGATCAAAATGGTGAGGCACCAAGTGAAAAAAATATTTCCCTAATATGAAAATCAGCCCAAAACAAGAACTGTGAAGCAAAAAATCAATACACACTTCAGTAAATAAAAATTTAGGAACACAGCTCAAAACTCGCTGATGAATACAATACAGTACAGTACATAAAAGTTGGGCAACATATAGGGACATTTTAAAGGTTGAGGAAAAAACGAGGTTTGAACTTCAGACTCTAGTGTACAACTTGGGGGTTCGAGTCATGTGACATGGGAAGAGACTATTCCAGGTGACTGCTTTTTTGAATAACAGCTAGATATTCATTGAGGTATTGACTTTTTTAACCACTAATTTTCCTGGTGTATGGTTGCCTTGTGAGGTGACCATGAACAATTTTCCCTGCCTCGGAACATAATTCGCTCCCTGAACATGGAAAGCTCTGCCAGGAGAGTTCTGAGCAGGTCATCTCATAGGTCATTTGACAATTTCTTGTATGTTGTAAAAGTATAAGTAAAAAATATTGTGCTATATTTTTGGAAGTCACTACCATATAAGAATCTTAATGGTGTTCAATCAATGACATGTTTTCTGTATGTTTCCAAAACAGGATGGTGTCAAGATCAGAATGGACAAGATAATGAAAGGCAGCAGCAATACTTATGTCCCCCCAACTTCATCCGACTGGGTCACAGTTGTTACCACTTCAGTGTGGAAATGACCACATGGCACAATGCTCACTTTGCCTGCAGAGATCTTGCAAGTCAGCTCGCTGCACTTGAGTCACAGAGGGAAGATGAAAATGTTCGCACATATCTCGGCAAGCCTGAATTTGGTAAGATTTCCTTATATGGTATTTGAGGCCCTCCGCATTAGAAGGGGGTGAAGCGCCAAAATAAAAAAGCTGAGAAAAACGCATTTAAACTTTTTTGAAGTTCAAACAACCATAACGTTTTTGTTTTTTAAGCTAGAGGGTTAATTTTTTTATCATGCAGCTCAATCCCTCTCCTAACAAACTGTGAAAACTGAAAGTTAGTACTGTGAATAGTTATTATTTTATCGCAAGTTGAATGAGAATAACTTCCTGTGATGTACAGTTGTTTGATCTTCAAACCAACAATAATCGTGTTTTTATGCATTTTTTTTATTATTGTGGGTTAATATGCTAAAACAATTTAATGATCACCAAAAACAGCACCCATCTTACAACCCCCCCCCCCAAAAAAAATGAAATACGTAATAAAAAACTCGTTTGCCTATCAGTATTTATCTTCCCGTCCCTATTATTAGCCAAAGATTTATAATATTGTTAAGTATAATAATGTATAGTAATAAGGAAACACCACCCCCACTCACCATTAACCTCTCACCCCCAACGTAATTAACATACGAACACAAAGGCGGAGAAAGCTTGCATAATCTTTGGTTAAAACAGTATTATAATAATAGTAATACAATCTTACTTTGTTTAGTTCCTTCTTTTTTATTATCCCTGAAGATACTGTAGTAGTAACTTGAAGTTACGTAAATCCTGAAGAGTGCGTATAACTTTAATGACCTTGTCATAATCAATCACATACAGTGGTCCCTCGGTTAACAAGCACAATCCGTTCTAGAAGGCTGCTCGTTAACCGAAAAACTCGTTAACCAAAACCATTGTTTCAATGGGTTTTTGGGTAATTGGTTCCAGCTCACCGAAAATTGCCTAAATTCAACAAAAAAGGTAGAAAGGTACACTTACTTTGAGGTGTGTATGTAGAAGGCTCCTGGATGATGATGATGATGATGATGATGATGATGATGATGGGAATTAGAATGGGGGTGGGGGAGAAGGGAGAAGAGAAGGCATTGGGGTGGAAGAGAAGTCACCCCATGGTGCTATTTCACCCATAAAATTTTAGTTCTCTTGGTAAGATTCAAGATTATTTTCTTTAAATCAACACTGCACTGCATTATATATTGTCAATATGTAAAATAAATTTCAAATTGACCAATAATTTGCTTGTAAACACAGAAAAAAAGCATTTAGTTGAAGAGAGTCTCAAGCAAGATGTTACCTCCACTGAAAAGACACAAAGACTGATGCCTGTATGCTGTGTTGGCAGGCTGGATGGCATGCCACAAACTAGTGACCCTACCTTCAATTATTTTCAATAATTGTTAAAATGAACTAAAAAATTTAATATTAAACTTTTTAAATTATTGAATAGTATAAACTTCTTGATATTTACTAAAAGGTTAAGGAATTTAAGCCCTAGAACCGATTACTGTATTGGCGGACTAATACTACAGCTGGTGGACCACCAAATGCAAGCGAAAACATGTGGAGGTCGGCTCGTAAGAAACTTGTTAATCGAGGGATTGCTCGTTAATCGAAGTTAAGAATCTTATGGAAGGTAACTCGTTAACCGAAATCTCGTTAACCGAGGCGCTCGTTAACCGAGGGACCACTGTACTGATCAAAGTCTTTCTTTGCACTCTCTAAAAATCGGCACACAGATTCTTCATCACTAAATCATTGATAATTATTGATGCCGGCAACAGTCCAGTTTCATTATAAGACTGAGTTATGGGCTCACTTTCACTAGCATTCGTTGGGTCAGGTTCACTTTCATCACTATCAAGGTCAATGCATGTCTCGTCACTGTCCACTTCTACCTCCTCACAGTCTGTATGTTCTTGTTGTGATACATTAGAGTCACTGCTTGTGTTACCATTAGACTCACTTTCATCATATTCATCGTCACTTTCATTGTCATTATTGCCGTCAGTGCATGTCACGTAACTCTGTACCGGAACACAGTCTGCAAAAAGGTTTTGTGATGTATAGCAGTCACTTTTTGTATTATGGGTATACCAAAATCACTATCACCAAGCATTCCTGGGGTGTCCACGTGAGCAATGTCGTCACTAAACACATGCTCAGGAATAATAGGCTCCTAAACCCACACCAGAAGGCCTGGCCTCACTCGAGTCTTGCTCTAATATTGGGCAGATATTACACAGCACTTCTCACACCCGTGGAACACGAATAACGTCAATGTTACGCCGAAAAGTAAAAAAAAATAGCAGTAGAAAGTACACTGAACCTCCATATGCTATACAGCGCACCAAAACTAACGAGGAGGCAGCATCTGGGTGGGCAGATTGGCCGAGGAGCTGTGACATAGCAAGGGGAAATCCACTGTGATTGGCTGCCTCAGGGGGTACTTTTATCATTTCACCTGCTTCACCCTATTGTAAGAAACAAATCACCTGTTCCACTCTATTATACTCACCTCATCTGTTCCACCTATAATAACATTTCATCTGTTCCACTCCTTTCAAGTGAAAATGAAGAAACAATTGATGATATAGAGACAAATAATGCACAATAACTTCTAAGCAGTACTGTACTGGATTTCTAGATAATCTTACTAACATGCTGTATTTCTCTCCTCAAAATACAGCATCCCTGAACAGGTGGGTAGGAGGCATCTACAACTGGTCTACAAGGCAGTGGACATGGGGCTCTTCAGCTGAGGTGATGCCATATAATGGTTTTGCCACTTCTGAGTTTCCTAGTTCATCTCGTTGGCACTGTGTTTATCTGTCACCAGACATTAGCTATCGCTGGAACCATGCACTATGCACCTCCTTTATGCATTACATCTGTGAAACTCACCAGATCAGAGTTCTTGATCCCAATGAAATTATCATAGAAGATCCAGGAAATTTCTGAGAACAGTTTACTGATTATAATTTCAAATCTCTTTAGTACTGTGAGTATATGAGGCAACTGGTTATGGTGCATCTTCCTGAACAAAGACTGATAATTATTTTCATTAAAGTATGCTGCAAAGTCACAGCATAGTACAGTATAGCCAATTCCTGGGTTCATATACTATATCAATATGACAGAAGCATATTGTATATATCCCCATGTTGCTATAATATATACAAATAAACATATGAGAATAAATATTTTTCTTTAGATCCCAACAAATATTTAGTCAAAACCCATGGACTATCATAAGTGTGCAGCAAGATATGGTCTACCACCGAGTGCCTCCGGGAAGATCCTGTCTATGCCTGGAAGCAGTTACACTATCCATAAGATGACTCATTCTACTAACTAGAAGCATAGAGCCTTGTCACCCAATCAAATCCACATTCAAATTTGGATCTGGATGTTGTCTCTAGGACCAGTGAGGTGTCAGGCCAAGACTCAATCAGACCCAGATTAACTTGATCCAATTCCCAGCTTAAACTAGTACAGTTCCTTGCCAGCAGCCATTCTGCCATTACCTATTTCCCTTAGTCCAATGGATAAAATGTTCTTAAAATTAATATTGTTGTTGTTATAGTACTGTACTGTACTGTACTGTACTGTACAGTATACAGTAAAATCCCAATTATCCGGAATCCATGCAACTGGCAGATTCAACCAACCGCACCAATATGAAATAATACAGGTTGGGTATCCCATATTCAAAATTCCCAAAACTGAAATGCTCTGAAATCCCAAAGTTTTTTTTAGTGCAAGGCCTTGGGGAGGTTCCCCGGTGATGTGCAGGCCCTGCTGCGCAACAGACTTGTACAAGCGTCATATGGCATCTTTGGCACCAAACATCCATTTCTTTTTAGCAGTTGTCACATGCAGACATTCATGCATTACTCCCCATGATTACAGTGATTTTTTATCTTATTTATATTTTTATTTTTGCTTACTCTGTGTTTTATGTTGTGAATATACTGCTCAAATCTATTTCATTATATTTATAGGAGAGAATACATTGAATGTGGCATATACTGTACAGTAAACCCTCACACTTCCGGATTTCAGTTGGTCTGGATGTGGCAAATTCATATCTGGTCTCTCTCTCTCTCTCTCTCTCTCTCAGTCCGTATGCTGCTTTTACTCCCCCACTGCTAAAATGAACTCAGTCTGCATCTCCTGCCACCAGTCACAGCACAGGTCCCTCCTCAGTCTTGCTTGTAGTCTCAGTGTGTGCACACCATCTTGCTACCTCTTGATCGCATCCTTTTGTTGTTCCTCGTGTATTTTGTGCCACGTGACTGTTTTTGTGCCTTGTGACTGTTGTGTAGTGATGGGACCCAAAAGGAAGCACACGCAGCTTACTGTAGCTCAGAAGCTGGAGTTGTTACAGAAGTTGGAGAGTGGTTGGTCTGTAGTGAGATGCTGTATCGAATATGGCGTCACTATGCAAACAGTGTCTGATATCTGAAGCTTATGGTTCCCTGCAGTCATTTGCATTGAAATATAGTCCTGATTCTTCGACCTCTAAGATGACTGTTGAAGACCACAAGCTGATGAGGGTAGAGCAGGATCAACGACTGGAAGATGCTGTCTTCAAATGGTATTCACAGCAGCATTCAAGTGGCGTGGCTGTGCATGGTGTCGAGATGCAAATGGCTGCAGAGAAGTTAGCTACACACCTTGGTATACCTAACTTTAATGCCTCTGATGGTTGGCTGTGGAGGGTTAGGAGGAGACATGGGATTGTCAACCGTAAGGTCTGTGGGGAAGCTGCAAGCACCCCAACCGATGAGATCAAGCATTTTCGCAAGATGTTGACAGAGTTGATTGCTCGAGGTCTGCTTTTGTCACAGGTATATAATGCAGATGAAACAGGGCTTTTTTGGAGATCGTTACCTGAGAACACCCAAGCAATGGCAAAGGAATACTCGACACATGGGAGGAAGCTGGATAAGGCTCAATTCTCCGTGATGTGTGCTGCTAATGCTGACGGCATGCACTGCCTAACTCCAGTTATTGTAGGAAAGACTAAGTGTCCCCACGCCATCAAGGACATAATGGATCATCTGCTCGTCCATTATTATGTCAGTGCCAAGGCCTGGTTTATGGTGGCTACCTGCACTGAGATACGCCATTATCAGATGGACATCTTGAAGATTCCTGCAAATTGTGTTTAGGCCATTATTCTACTTGATAATGCACCATCTCACCCTGATGCCCGTGAGATTGTTAGCGATGATGGTATAACACGGTGCATTTTCTTTCCTGCCAACACATCATTAATCCAGCCAATGGATCAAGGCATCATTTATGTGGCAACGAAGATATTTAGAAGGAAGTTTTTGCAAGAAGTCATGGTCGTGTTGGAGGATGGAGTTGATAAAGCTGAGGACACAAGAGGCCAGAGCACTCTACAGAACCTCTGGAAGTATGACATCAAGGCAGCCATCTTCAACTGGGCAGCAGCATGGAAGGATGTGAAGGTGTTGACTCTTGCCAAAGGCTGGAGGAAATTGTTATAAGATACAGATCATGTGGATTATTTTGAGGGGTTTTAGGTGGCTGACTACCACCGTAATTTAAAGAGGGCTGGTGAGGACACTATACTGTAAGTGAAGAAAATGTCTTGGAATGGCTTCACAGTGACGAAGGTGATCCTGGCTTCCAGCTGATGACTGAGGAGATAGCAGCTTCTTGCGCAGCCTCAGATGAGAACGATGATGAAAATGAGAAAGAAGACATCACCTTGTTTGCTCCAATGTTGTGACAGGTGTTTGGGCAGGATTGGACACACTGCTATCGAGTATTTGCATGCCAATACAAATGACCCTGATTTACAGTTACTATTCCTTTGTGAGTTGAGGGACTTGATAGGCAGGAAGCAGCTGGAGACTAATAAGCAGACTAAGATTGACTCCTTCCATACTAAAACCCCCGTCAATCCCAGAAGGACTCCTACACGTTGCCCTACTTCTCCCTCCTCACCTGTAGCTGGCCCTTCGTCTGCACCCACACACTTGCCGCCTGACGAAGAAGACTATACAGTCAAGAGTCCCACTATATGATCAGGGTAAAATCCAAACTTAAGCATATCTCACCAAAAGGTTAACAATATCTTATGTTACTGCATTAAAATTAAAAGGAGGTAAGTTAAAATAATACTGTATTGGTATACAATAATAACAATACGGTACTGTTCATAGAGTAATACAGTCAACCCTCACTTTACGCGGTCCCACATTCCGCGTTTACACGTTACGTGGTGCCCTGCCGGAACCCAGGATGCTCACATTCCGCGGTGCGTGTACCCCTTTACACGGGTGAAGCACAATTTTTTTATTTAGCTCATAAAATTCATACAAATTATCCGGCCAGAATATAATTTACATTGCTGGAATTCTTACAATTTGATGATCATTTTGAATATAAACATCATAGATTTTGTATTAGACATACAAATTTTAGATCTAATGTTTACTCTGAGTAAATATGTTATCTTTTGTGCAAAATATATGACATTTATATTCAAAATATTCCTGGTCTTACAAGGAATCCAGCAATGTCAATTATATTATCCTAACTTTAGTTTGAGGTATTATTTATTACTATACCTTAAAATCCAGTGGTTCCAAAATTTCTCAGAGAGGGAAGAGCCAGCGATTGTAGTGTGAGAAGAGGGGGAGGGAGTTGAGTCCATTATTTGAATGGACATTAACTTGGTGACTGTATTTCTCTATTTCTCTTAAGTATTAATTGTGTGCATGTACCATCATAAAATTAAGATGTTATTTTTACTAGAACATAGGTATTGTGTCAGAAAAAGTGGAGTTTGGGGGTCAGCCGGTCTCTATTTCATTTAATCCCATATGTTATGTTATTCACTTTACGCGTTTCTCACTTTCCGCAGTACCCTGTAGGTTACATTAACCCGTAAAGTGAGACCCAACTGTACTGTATAATTATTATGGATGCTATTATTACTGTATTATCATTATGGTATTATTATTTAATACAGTGAGTTCTGCTATAACGCGTGTTTTGACAACGCGAATTGGCTCTAACGCGATTGATGAATAGAGGAACAATATTTGTAAAACGCGAACGCGTTTGCTCTAACGCGATTCCACTCGAACGGTTATTATGGCTTGGCGGGGGGTTATGCAGTGTTTACAGTTCACGTTCGACATCACATGTTCAATTGATTTATGTGTTTTGTTTGTGAACAATTGCAGAAATAATTTATTTAATATTTATGTATACAGTATACCTGTACAGTATATGTAAAATGTAAAATTTTAATTAAGAGAGAAAAACAAAATACGTAGCGTTTTAGACCCGCGCGCTCTGTTTACTCCACACGTTCACTTTGAAACACGTGAGAAATTTTTAAGCGTCCTCAGTGCTTTCTGATGTACTGTTTCTCCAATTTTGTGACTATGGAAAAGAAGAATATCTCCGGGAAGCGTTCTGGTGATCGCATTTCCGGTGGTGATTGTAAAAGAAAGGCTATAACACTTGAAGAAAAGCTTGATGTTGTCAAGCGTTTTGAAAATAAGGAAAGAACATGTGATATTGTGCGTGCAACGGGAATAAAGGAGTCTACTTTACGCACCATTAGAGACAATGCAGCAAAGATTAAAGCAAGCTGTGTTGCTGGAAAAACCTTGAGTGCTAGCAAAAGTGTGAGATCACGGCCAAAGGAACTTGAGGAGATGGAATGGCTTCTAAGTGGTTTGGATAGAAGATCAAACGAAAAAGCGATCTGGGACCAGCTTCCTCACCATTAAAGAGAAAACCTTATCAATATATGAGGACCTAAAGAAAAAAGCTGAAAATCCTGCTGATGTGGTTGTCTTTAGTGCTAGTAGTGGGTGGTTTTCTGGTTTTAAGAACCGCTATGCTTTTCATAATGTAAAGTTATGTGGTGAAGCCGCAAGTGCCGACAAAGCAAGTGCCCGGGCATTTCCTCCCACTGTAAAGAAATTGATTCAGGAAGGCTACACCTTAGACCAAATTGTTAATTTGGATGAAACAGGTTTATACTGGAAGCGCATGCCAACAAGAACTTACATTTCCAAGAATGAAGCACATGCTCCAGGCTTTAAGGCTGAGAAGGACCGCGTGACAGTGTTGTTGGGTGCAAATGCTAGTGGAGACTTAAAGCTTAAGCCTGTGTCAACCTGCGAGCTTTAAAGGGTTACATAAAGTCTACTCTAGGTATTCACTTTAGGTCAAGCAAAAAAGGTTGGATGACAAGACAAATTTTTTCTGACCTTCTTGTGGATGTTTTTGAAAATGTGTTTAAAAAATATTGCAAGAAGAAGAATATAGATTTTAAGATTCTCCTCATTTCAGATAATACGCCAAGCCACCCTCCCACCATTGCTGAGCTTTCTGACAATATCAAAGTGCTCTTTCTACCTCCAAATACAACATCTCTCCTTCAACCAATGGACCAAGGAGTAATAGCAGCCTTCAAAGCCTATTATTTGAGGCGTACATTTAAGAAACTTATTGAAGCTACTGAGGAAGGAAAAATTTCAACATCAAGCATGCAATTGACATCATTGTGGAGGCCTGGGGTGAAGTAAGTAAGGACTGCTTGAGTGGAGTTTGGCAGAAGCTTCTCCCAGATTTAATTCATGATTTTACAGGCTTTGATGCATCAGAGGAGCTCCCAAAAATTAAAGAAAATTGTGTTTCTCTTGCAAAGCAAGTTGGCTTTGCTGAAGTGTAAAGCGCTGCTGTTGAGGAACTGCTCGAGTCCCACTGTGAAGACCTCTCTACAGAAGATCTACAACAACTTGTTGCTGCTGGGGAAATAGAAGATGCCAAAGATGAAGAAGTCCAGGATGCAAAACCAAGAGAGCTTCCCACTTCTGTTTTGTCTTCTATCCTGAGGAAAGTTGATAAGCAGTTGCAGATCTTGGAAGACAATGACTACAATGCAGAAAGGAGCAGGATTGCAGTTCGTGGTGTTAAATCTTTTTTGGCACCTTATGAACAGCTTCTTTGTGAAAGAAGAAAGACGGCAAAGCAGCAAACATTAGACGTCTTTTTTAAGTCAACCCCCAAGAAGCAGACTGAAGACACTGAACCACAGCCATCCACTTCTGGAATTAGACGTTTTTTTCTTCCCTCCCATGCAACCAAAACTGCACCTGATGATGACGATGACAACTGTCAAATCCTGTCTGCATGACTCAACCTCAACATCAACCTTCTCCCCCATCAAGTTATATTCATATTTTTCAAGGTAAAGTGTAACATTTACTGTATGATTTCATTATTAGATATGAATAACATTTATTTAGACTGTGCTATCCTTTGTGTTAGGCTAACTACGAAATTTTTTTCGATTTCGAGTAATCTGCACCTAACCCTATTTTCTCCATAAGCCCTGTTATTTCTATTACGCGAATTTCTATAACACGATGTTTTACAAGAACACAACTATCGCGTTATAGCAGAACTGACTGTACCATTATTACTATTATTGTTATTAACTGTATCAATAAAGTCCATGTACAATAATATGATTATTGTTAATGCACCTTCGTCCCCTAATTCATCCAGACATTTGTCACATCCGGACACCTTCTCCCCCCCAATTATCCGGAAGTGCGAGGGTTTACTGTTTATCATAATTTTTACTAGGGTAAGTATGAATGTGTAATGAAAAAAGGTAAGACACAGGCTGCTTAGCACCTCAGAGTCAGGCATCAAGGCGATGCCAAACAAACAATAGTGATTGCTTATTTTTCTGATTCTTCAGTGTACGTCTTATCATGTATTTCATACACAAAATTATTAAATATATTTCAAAAAACTACCTGCATGCTATACTGTATGCATCAATATGCTGTTAATGACATAAAATGAATTTCGTGTACAGTGGTCCCTCGGTTAATGAACAGAATTCGTTCCAGAGGGTCGTTCGTCAACCGAATCCATTGTTTCAATGGGATATTGGGTAATTGGTTCCAGCTCACCGAAAAATACATACAAAGTAAAAAAAAATGCAGTAAAGTACACTTATTTTGAGGTGTGTATGTAGAAGGTTCCTGGTTGATGATGATGATGGGAATTAGAAGTGGGGGTGGAGGAGAAGGGAGAAGAGAAGGAAGTGGGGATGAAGGAGAAATCACCTTTCAGTGGACCCATGCTTGATGAAGTAATTTCACCAATAAAATTTTAAGTTCACTAGGTGTAATTCAAAATTATTTTATTTAAATCAACACTGCACTGCACTATATATTATCAATATGTTAACTAAATTTCAGAATGACCAATAATTTCAATGGATAAGTGCAAAAATATTCAAGACACCAACAAAATAGATGATCACTCCACTGTTTTCAAAGCCCAACTGACGCCTTATAGCCGAGTCAAGCTGCTGATGGGCGCAGAAAAAACTAGTTCCCTGTACTGCATATATATCAATATGTTAAATAAATGTTAAAATGACTAATAATTTTAATATAAAAAATGCAAAAATATTAGAGCAAAACTTTAGTGATGTTTACTCTACTGGAAACTAATGTAAATACAGAACAATGACTGAATTGGCAGACTAGCCCATCAACTGATCAGCTGATGCTCACAACAAAAGGTGATATTCGTAAGGACTTCGTTAATCAAATTTTTGTTCGTTAACTGAATTGAAGATTCTTATGGAAGGTAATTCGTTAACCGAAATTTCTTTAACCGAACCGTTCGTTAACCGAGGGACCATTGTATAGACTTAGGCCCCATCCCCACTAGGTGAGCTACTTCATTGTACAGGTACTCCTTGACTTACGACCACCCGGACATACGACCGCCGCAATCGTATAAAATATTTTTCAAATTACATATTTTCGAGTCCCGACGTTAGTGATCGCGCTGTGTACTGACAAAATTTTCGTCTGTAATTCCCAATAAAATGGCTGGTAAGCGTAAAAGTAAGAGTTCTCGTGGTGCTGAGAAGAAAAAGAGACACCCATTTTAGATTTTCTATGTATTATTTTCGCATTTTCGACTTACGACCAATTCGACTGGGTTTGGGACCGATGACCAGATCAAACCTGGTCATCGGTCCCAAACCCAGTCGTAAGTCGAGGACTGACTGTACAGATATACAGGATATAGGTATTCCAAAATCCAAAAACATCCCAAATCCGAGACCCTTAAGACCCTAAGCATTTCGGATTAGGGATACCCAACCTGTAATAAAAATAAAAATTCCTCTATAATCAGCTAGAATTATAAGTTTGAATACCACACACAATGGGGATGAACTACCATATTTATTGCTATTATAAACAATAAAATCAATACATAGCATAACACAAAATATATTAGCACATATTTTATGTACAAAAAAACAGCTCCCACACTCAAACCATTCTCTGGGCAACATGATATAGTTCAGGCAGTCACCAACTGACTAACATTTGTGTGGCTGCCGCACTGACTGTGTGTATGCCATGACATAACATCAGGAGGGAGCTTGGCCATGCAGTTATAGCCCAGTAATCCACGACCTCCACACACATTCAATTCCCATATATACACACCCATGCTCTTCATTTTTTCTTATTTTATAGTTTTATATTTTCTTTATTTCTAAACCACGTAAAGTATTTTAATGATTTTCCACAACCTTTATAGTATCATTTTAAGTAACAATATACAAGGCAGCTGGGCTGATGAGTTGGTGACGTAATTATAGCCCATCGCCTCCTCACACATTCACTTCCCTTACATACATACATATGCTCTTCATTTTTCTTATTTTATATTTTTATATTATATTTTCTTTATTTCTAAGCCACATCATTTATATAGTTGAATAAGTGTCAAAGAAGTCTGTTTTTCTGTGACACGAATTTGCGAGGTCAGCCTGCAGCACTGTGCAATGTAGGATCCTAAGAGTGAGATTCAACTCACCGGAAAATCTCTCTATCCGGCACCTCTCAATCCCCAAAGGTGCCGCACAACTAGGATTCTATTGCAAAGGGCTTTTTAGGATTTCTGCGAGTGTGGCCCTGACAATTGACAAAATTCAACCTAAAACAACAGGCTTCTATTAAGTACCACAAGTATCTAATCTAAAAGTTTGCTGCCATAGATTCATACATACAGCAATAAAAACACTAATAAAAACAGACATACCATACATAAGTGATGCATTAACAAGAAAACATGAACACGTACCCTCAGATGAATAGCTAATGATAAAATTACTATTATCAAGGAGTGTGAAAAATTTAATGAAACTAAATCACCATCACTTACACTAATCCTAATAAATTACTGCACAATATTGCATTCTCTAATAAGTTACGGTAAACAGGTACAGGTACACAGAAACTAGTTACCTTTATGTAGGTGCAGAGTGCATCCCCTTTGAAGTTCCCTTCTTTATCTTGATACATCTTGATCTTTGGTTTGTTTGTCTCCATATCCTTAAGAATCATGCCACATTTCTGCATTAATTCCACAAATTCTTCTTCTGTCATAGAGTCAGGAAGGTTGCTCACATAAACTTTCGTGTTGTGAGCTTCATCTATAGTAAACCATGCTGTGGAAAATAACTAACAATTAATAAAATAATTGTTATATAGAGCATTAAGTTCATTGATTACCATTTAAGACTGGAAAAAAGCTCAAGAAAATTTTGCAAAGGACTTCATGGATAGCTATGTCAAGATAATTCTCTCTCATTACCATACTGACTTTCTGCAATGGCATCAAAACTGTATCCTGAGCCCTAAAGTGAAATCAATAATACTGAGTATGAAAAGGATAAAATATCTTTTGATTGTCAATATACCTGTACTGGGATGAGAAAGAAAGATGAAGGATTGCAATATGAAATCCAATTTCATGGTTGAAGGCCGAGATAAGTGAGACGAAATCCTAACATGCTGAACACCCAATAATGGAGCCCAGAACAACATGTTATTCAAATAAATATCATATTTGCCGCCAATGCAACTCTTTACTCAGTCATATTAGGTATCTAACAGTGTGATGGTTGCCTATGTGGCCAGCAAAGATATTAAGCTCGCAACTGGGTATACATAAAATTCTCAACAATTCCTTTACCCTGAAATCTCCCAGCCATGAAAGTAGGCAACTTGAGTTCCAGGTTCTAGTTCTTGTTGTTTTAGGCTCCTATCCATAAAATGGGATTTCAATCATTTCAGTGTTCAATCTTTCCTTTGTGGCCTCCAGTTCAGTAGTCAGTACTGTATATGGTATACTGTACAATAAAATCAACAAAATGTAGATCAGCACTTATCCCTCCTATGGTGATCCATTAAGAGACGGGAAGAGAGGTGCCAATCGAAAGGCTGTGTAGAATGGCTGACAACAGGTAACTGAGTATTTGAAGAATGGAACTCCTATTTGTGACAGTTATGAGGTGAAAATCAGGGATTTGACCAGATGAACCTGTTCATAAGGACTGTATTGCATGCTGCTAGAATGTACAAGAGCCCTTTACCCTAGCCAGACTCTGACAGGGTAATCTAGTTGCAGTATTCTTTCAAGTTGATGGCCAACTGACTGTAAAATTCAGTAAGACCCCCCCCCCTCCCCAAGTCAGACTTCCATAAGTTGGAAACCCCCCATTAGTCGGACTAGGGCCTGTGGGTCTGCCATCACTCACTCTACAACTCTGAGTAAAAACTGGTGATAACCCGCATCTGCCACCTTGCATCCTCGATTCCAACAGTGATTAAGCCAAAAAATAAATGCTAGTTTTATGTGATTTTCTGCAAAATGGTGGTTGAAATTACCAGGGAAAGATGGGGAGGGGGGGGGGGGAGTCCCACATAAGTCGGACTTTCACATTAGACTAGCTTGAACCCCATATAGTCCGACTTAGGATGGTCATACTTAATTCCCTTTTATACTGGGGATTTTATTTGGAAAATACACAAAATTTAAGAACTAGTTGACTTACTAAATTAGGAATGAAGTACATGTACTGTATAAGAATTAAAAACAGAAGGGATATAGTCTTACATGGTTTCTTCTTAGCTTGATTTTCTTTTAGTAATTCTTTCTTTCTTTCCTCTTCCTCAGCTATTCTTGCTGCTTCTGCTTCCTCTTTTTCATCATCAAATTTTAGAGGATTTAAATCTTTTGTTCCATCTGGGTTAAATCCATATGACAACTGGTACATGGCCATGAAATCCTCATCAAACTGAAAGTAAATGATTTAAAAAATTTAAGGCTCTCATACAATTGTAATTAAATATTCCCCAGTTCACAGATAACAATATTTGAAGGGCAACATTAGCTGTGCAGTGTATGTACCACAACTTCCTTACAAACCTGCAAATCAATTAATGTACTGTACATGTAAAAGATGAATAAATTATAAACTTTCTGGATAACCATTTTAAATACTATTTGATAAGATATAAACATCTTCGATACCTATAGAATACAGAACATCTCCCTCTATTCTCTCATAAATGGAGATAAAAAGATATAAAACAATGTACAGTGGGGTATGCTATAACGAACGGATCCTACTACGAATATTCCTATAACGAACGGATTTACCTATAAAATTGAGAATGCTATAACGAACGCAACTCCTACAACGAACGCGGATGAATACGGGACTATTTTGCCTGGCGCATGAATATTGTTGTACTGCGACCCACAAGAGCGTCAGGCGCCATCTTTGTCTCATTGTGTAGCCAGTGCACCACTGTTATTGTTGAAATTTCGTCTTTTGATGTGGAAATTCGCGTTATTTGTATAACTATTTTGTTATACAAGTATACAATTGTAACAATGAGTCGTCCAAATGGCAGGTGGTAACATTAGTGAAGCTATAATTTGTGAGAAGGCCAGACAATTGTTTGAGGACCTTAAAGCCAAGACTCCCAGTGGAAGTGATAGTGATGTGCCAGTGTTTAGGGGTACCTGCATGCTGAATAACACTAAGGTAAGATAAAGTACCGTATTTTTTACATTTTCCACAGAATTTTTTCAGTGTTAGGTGGTTGTATTTGGGGGCCTGGAACGGATTAATCCTATAACGAACGAGGTTCTGGAACCAATTACGTTCGTTATAGCACTGTACAGTACACTAAGTATTAAATTTCTTAATGCACATTAAATTTTTGGGTTTACTGTACAGTACAGTACAGTATATGCAAATATATAGGTAAAGGTTGGCAATTTTCTCAAGATATATAGTGTATTTTTTTGTATTTAAACCAATTTACATGAATTTTTGCCCATGTTTAAGATATACTGAACAAGTAAAATGGATCTCTTAATGACTATTTGTTCCTGTACTACTAAAAACATTAATCAATTGAAGCAAACTATTGTGTTAGCTATTTAAACAGCTAAGTCACCTTCAAGATTGGATTAGAAATGTGAAGCTCTGTAAAACCACAAATCTGGCAATACAAACTTACAGCTATCATGGCTCTTGTGTGCTTCTTCATTTATTGATTGTTTCTCTTTATTCCCATAAGAGAACATATTTTGGGGCATACCGTATGTCTACCCGTGAGTTTCTTTACAAGAATGAAGTTCAGTGAACCATACCTACTGTGTCTGAAACCCTCAAAGTACTATAGAACTGGAGTATACTGGGCAGTAATAACACTTTAAATCATTTACTGATACAGTACTAACTTGATCATAATTGTCTATTCTTCTTTCACTATGAAACGATATTATTATTTGTATGGTAGGTTTAAGAGGGTATATGTATAAATCTATAAATTCACACTGCATGAGGAACAAGCAAACAACTCACATTACTCTATGATAAAAATTAACATGCAGGTGTACTGTACAGTACAGTATATTATATCAATTACCTTGGGGAACCATGCACGTCTGTTTGCATCCCACTCATACATCACATTGTCACTGGGGTCACGTTTAGTGTAAGTAACTCCATCATAGGCAATGTTGGGGTCATTCTGGGCACCAGGAGGCTGTAATCCATTGCCAAAATCTTCATCAGAGTCTTCATCATCTGTGTCAAACTCTTCCTCTTCATCAATCCGAGGTCTTTTTCTTTTCAGTTTTCCGTCATACACTTCCCATGAATTGTTTTCTTTATTCAACTTATACACAACATTTGATACATTGTCTCTGTAAAACATTGAATCTCCTTGATAAAAATACCATTTTGAATTACTTTGTTCTACACCAGAATTACCAGTGGAAGTTACTTTCTCTGACCATGGTTTCCAGTCATTATCCTCATTCATGTAAAAAACATTTCCAAGTGGATCTTTGCACAAGTACATATTTTCTGCATAGTAGTAAGTTCTTCCTTCTTTATCTATCGTTACTTGTTTTTCAGCTTCATAGTCACTGTCTTTCTCCTCACTAGTTACGACCCATTCTCCAGCATTTGCATCATATCGGTATCTCTGCCCTGATGTATTGTCTGTATAATGATATTGGCCCCCAATTAACTCATAATGTTGACTGGAAGAAAAATCTGGTTTACTGTCTTGTTTTTCCCCACTGCTTTCTATTTTCTGTCTTTCAATATCACTGACTTGGGTACTGTCTGCTTCTACAGGTTGTTCATCACTTATAACATGTTTCTGCTTACTTTCATTCACACTAGTTATCTGCAGCTTTGTCTCTGTCATCTGAATTTCACTTTCTTGGCTAGAGAGTGTATCTTCTTCAGAAGACTTCTCATCACTTGGTATTGTGTTCTGAGGACTGTCTGACACATTACAAGAATCTGCCTCTCCAGTCTTTTCATTAGATTCAATATCCTCCTCCTTCAATGCTGTATCTTTTATAACCTTATTGTTAACAGGTCCTTTCTTTAATATCTCTGCCATTGTCTACCCACTGCACCTGAAAAAGAAAACATGATAATGCAATAAACAATGTTGAGTACATATATTTCCAAGCAATCTAATGGACTGGTAAAAAAAAAAATCAATATAAATAGCAAAATAATGCCATCAATCTTTGTATAAAAACTTCACTTTATGGCTGTACAACAACCACTAAGAGAGCTGCCCTGTCTAGAGGGCTACTGTGCTGGGCAGGGACAGTCCTCTACTTATTGGTGGAATTGTTGCATAACAGCTGCTTGTATTTCTTTAATGGTGTAAAGCAGGCATGGGCAACCTTCACTCAGTCATGGGCTGCATTACAATTTAGGTATTTTTCTGCAGGCCAACTCACCAAAATTTATATCATACCTAACCCAAAAGTAATGTTAATACTGTACTGTACAGTATTAGCATGTACAGTGAAACCGTTTATCGTCATGTCCACCTTACGGTATTTTCAATTTACAATCGTCAGTCCCTTTTCCCATTTATGAAATAAATCCATCATAATATTTTTTAAGTAATATGTTAATGTTTCTTGGTATTTAACATTAGATGAGTGAAGCAGTCTGTGAATACATACGTTGATTTTTCCTACAGTTATATATATATATATATATATATATATATATATATATATATATATATATATATATATATATATATATATATATATATATATATATATATATATATATATATATATATATATATATATATACACACACACACACACACACACACACACACACACACACAGTAGTACCCCGATTTACACGGTCAATTGAATCCATGGGGTACCGCGGAAACTGAACAACAGAACATATGGGATTAATTCCAATAGAGACTGGGCCGACCCCCAAACTCCACTTTTTCAGACACAATACCTTCGTTGTAGTAAAAATACCATCTTAATTTTATGTTGGTATGCACACACAATTAATATTTAAGAGAAATATCAATAATATTAGGTCTTTTAACACTTACATTAGTAGAAAAGATGGCTGGGCACACGGGGATGGGGGGTTGGTTCCGAGGCAGAGGGCAGATTATTGGCCCTCACCTGTATCACTTGTATCAATTGTATCACTATCCACCACATAGGCTTGCAGGGCCTCTTTGTCAAACCCCTCAAAGTCCATATAAGTCCATATTCTCACTATCACTGACTTGGGCCGGCGGTGATGGGTTTTGGATGAAGAACTCGGTAATGTTTTGATGACTGGGCGACCTTCTGCGCATCCTGCCCGCGCCACTTCCCGCGTATATGAGTAGATGCACCGCGTAAAGTGAAAGTCCGGTTCTAGCGAGGTACTGCGTAAATGTAGAATCGCGTAAAGCGAAACCGAGTTCTTCACCCGCCACCCACCACAGCCGGCCTAAGTCAGTGATAGTGATAGTGAGGATATGGACTTATATGGACTTTGAGGAGTTTGACAAAGAGGCCCTGCAAGCCTATGTGGTGGATAGTGATACAATTGACACACACAGAGTATAGTCTGCATTTACGCGGTTTTTGTTTACGCGTTTGGTCATTTACGTGGTGCCTTGCCAGAATGAAAATGCTTTAATTACGCGGTAAATTAGGTCATTTTCGCAGCGAGCGGCTGGAGAGGTCCAGACCGCCGCGCCATTTTTTACCCACGCGGTGCAATCTTGACCATACATGGGAAGCGGCGCGGTGAGTGGTGCACATTAGGCCGCTCTTACGTTATCGCTGACGTCATATGAAGTATCAGACTGTGATTGGGCCACGCATCCTTACCACCCACACATTTCCTCCGCCGCTAGCTGTGATTGGTCTAATGTAACATGATGTGCCCTGCCACCAGAGGGTAGAAGTCGCTGACCTAGCCGGGCCTGTCTCATTGTTCTCAGTCTGCGTATACAGTTCTCTCTTGTGCCCGCTATTCCCATCACAACTCACAATGGCTTCCGCTGGACCCCCAGCACCAGAGAAAAACACTGAATTACCTGGACCAAGCCATGATAATGTGAAGGAAATCACCGAGTTGGGGAAGAAACTTAAGCTCATCCTTGACAACGACCCAGACAAGCATCGGTATGAAGTGTCTAATAACCATCTGACGAAAGTTATGGAGCCGTATATCCAGATCTATCTCGACAACACCAATGCTAGTCGTCAACGTAGTATTGAGGACTTCCTAGCCCACAACCCACCACAACCACAGCCAGCCCAAGTCAGTGATAGTGATATTGACAGTGAGGATATGGACTTTGAGAGGTTTGTCTGGGAGGCCCTGCAAACCTCTGTGAGTAGTGAAAGTGATTCACCGGAGGGCAACTAATCTGCCCTCTGCCTCGGAACCAGCCGCCATCCACGTGTGCCGCCCCAGCTTTTCTACTAACGTAAGTGTTAAAAAACCTAATATTATTGATATTTCTCTTAATTATTAATTGTGTGTGTGCATACCATCATAAAATTAAGATGTTATTTTTACTACAACGTACGTATTGTGTCGGAAAAAATGGAGTCTGGGGGTCGGCCCAGTCTCTATTTCGATTAATCCCATATGTTCTGTTATTTCGTTTACGCGGACCTCCACGGGTTCAATTGACCGCGTAAATGCAGAATATATATATATATATATATATATATATATATATATATATATATATATATATATATATATATATATATATATATATATATATATATATATATATATATATATATATATATATATATATATATATATATATATATATATATATATATATGTGTGTGTGTGTGCGTGCGTGTATGTATGTATGTATGTAGATCACGCGATAAATCCACATGGAGCAAGCTTTCGTCATTATCTTCAGAGGCAACTGAAGTTGCCTCTGAAGATGTCTTGAATAAAGACGAAAGCTAAGGAGCTCCGTTGTTTCCCTTTTCCCATGTGATTTTATCAAGATATATATATATGTATACATAAATATATATACAGTCATGCGCCGGTTAACGTCCAACCGAACAACGTCCGATCGCATATACGTCCGTGGCCCCCCCTCAAAAAAAAAAAAAACTTCCGTGACGCCTGCTGGACCAACACTCCACGACCCCCTGACGGAGACACGATGATCCTCCCCATACTGGCCAGATATTGTGCTAAAGGAATATGTTTCCTTCCTTAGGCTTTTTTTAAGCATTTGCCTCCAGGTGTAATGTTAACCTACATCTATTGAGGATAAAATCTTTCACCTACAAATTGACAATAACACATTTGGTATAATCAGACATATCTAGTTGCCTCAACAATTGCAACCCCAGTTGCAATTGGGGTTGCAATTTCAAATTCTGTGTCATAACTAAGGAATAATGAAGTCTCTGGTGCACTCTAAGATTAAGAGAGAAAACGGAGGACTCAGGCGTCCTGAGCGAGAGAAAACGGACTCCTATGATGGGGGACACAAGCACTCACACGTGCCACTCATACTGACAGACTTGACACTCACTTACTTGACAAGTTTTACCAACCATTAGTTGTGTACGTTATCTAGTGAATTTAGTCAATATTGTACAGTACAAGTACACTGCAATACAGTGGTCCCTCGGTTAACAATGGACCTAAGTGCAAACCTGTGCTGTACATATACTAAAATTGTTATGTCTATTGCAAATATAGATTGTTTATACAGGTATTCAAATAAATCACTATCTTACAAGAATCCCAGCAATGTAAGTTATATTCACCCAGGTCGTTTGGGTGGCAAATTATGAGAAGAGCTTAGTCACGCTTAAGGAATGATAAATAAACACGCAGGCCTTCAGCGCCATCTGTCAAATCATATCTCAAATAAATAAACAAACACCAGACACTCTGTCACCTCACCTCCCGCTCCCCCCCTCTTCCCACGCTAGCTGGCTACCTCCCTCCTTGTGTTCCCAGACAAAAGATTGGTGATAACTTTATGCTTTAAGGTGTTTTATTTTATTAATATCTCAGACTAAAGTTAGGATAATATAATTTGCATTGCTGAAATCCTTGCAAGACAGAGATTAATTTGAATATAAACGTCATATATTTTGCCCGAGGTAAAAATTGTAATACATTAGTGTACAATACTGTAGTACATTTTATAATATAAAGTTTTTCAACTGTATTTTTGGGTAGATTTACATAAATGTCTTCATTTATTTTCATCCATTTACATGCACACACCATACTAAAAGAAATGTAAAAGAAATACTGTAAATGACTTTATTGCAAAGCTGGAGTGCACATGTACTAATTTGATTATGGTACTAAAATTGTTATGTCTAGTGCGAATTATAGGTTGTTTATATTTAAATAAATCAACATCTTACAAGAATCCCAGCAATGTAAATTATATTCACCCAGGTCATTTCACTGGCTTTTTATAGGAGAGAAGCTTAGTCACTTAAGAACTGATAAATATACACGCATTAGACCTGGGCCTGTGCCAACTGTCAAACCACTCCCCTCCCCCCACGCCCCCTCGCTCGCTTGCTCGCTCCCTCCCTCCCTCTCCACCATCTGCCCAGCGTTGCTGGAATCCTTGTAAAACAGTGAATAATTTTAATATAAATGTCATGTATTTTGCACAAGAGATAAAAATTAATCACCTGTATCACATTACAGTAGTGATTTAAGAGTAAAAGTGTATATGTACGTATATAGTATTCCACATACACGTAAGTATAAATACAAAGTTTATGTGATGATCGGACAACGTCCATTTCGGTTAGCGTCACGTTTCCAAGAACGTATCTAGGACGTTAACCAGCGCATGACTGTATATATACGTAGCTCCTCCCCGGCTTACGACCTACTCGACTTACGACCACCCGGGCATACGACCGCCTCAGTCGTACCAAAATTTTGTCAAATTACAAATTTTTGAGTCCCAACGTCAGTGATTGCGCTGTGTACTGACAAAACTTTTGTTTATAATTCACTTTAAAATGGCTGGCAAGTTTAAAAGTGAGAGTTTTGTAGTGCTGAGAAGAAAAAGAGGCACCCATTTTAGATTTTCTATGTATTATTTAAGCATTTTCGACTTACGACCATTTTCACTTACGACCTGGATTTGGGTCCAAACCCCGTCGAAAGTCGGGGAGCAACTGTATTGTAATATATTTTTTTTAAGCCTTTTTTCTATGTACAGTATGATCATAAATCACTGTAGTAGGCTGGACATGAAGGATGAAGGAAATTGCGGGGTAAAACACAGTGAAAAACTGATCATATGGCAATAAATGACGTCTCTACATGCTTTGTACGCAAAAAAAAAATATTTTTTCCACTAAATAATCCTTTTATTATTGTACTTACTATCATCCAAAGAACATCTGTGCAAAAAAATATCAAAATCGAACGTGTTCTGGTAGAGCCACCTGTTCCAGGATAATCCCATTTTTTGTGGACATCAGAGTATGGTAGGTTGTTGCACTGAAACAAACAAACAAACTAAGAGCGGACGACAACATGCGCCAACACCAGATTTTCCGGTAGGATATATTATAAGGTAAATAATTAATTTCTTTGCTTACAAAGCAGATAGACATCATTTTAGTGTCATATGATCAGTTTTTGCTGTTTTTTATCCCACAATTTCCCTCATCCTTAATGCGCTGCCCACTACAGGCGATTTATGATTGTATAGAGAAAACTAAAAAACTTAAACAAATACTTATACAGTAATACCTCACTTTACGAAGTCAATTGAACCCACGGAGGCCCGCATAAAGCGGGAAACACGTAAAGTGAACAACAGAACATACGGGATTAATCGAAATAGAGACTGGGCCGACCCCCAAACTCCACTTTTTCAGACACAATACCTACGTTGTAGTAAAAATAACTTCTTAATTTTATGATGGTATGCACACACATTTAATAATTAAGAGAAATATCAATAATAATAGGTTTTTTACCACTTACATTAGTAGCAAAGATGGCTGGGCACACGGGGATGGGGGTTGGTTTCAAGGCAGAGGGCAGATTATTGGCCCTCACCTGTATCACTTGTATCAACTGTATCACTATCCACCACAGAGGCTTGCAGGGCCTCTTTGTCAAACCCCTCAAAGTCCATATCCTCACTATCACTGACTTGGGCCGGCTGTGGTGGGTGGCGGGTGAAGAACTCGGTAATGTTTTGATGACTGGGCGACCTTGTGCGCACCCTGCCTGCGCCGCTTCCCGCGTACATGAGTAGATGCACCGCGTAAGGTGAACATTCCGGTTCTGGCGGGGTACCGCGTAAATGTAGAAACGCGTAAAAAAACCCAGCGTAAAGCGGGGTATTACTGTAATTAAAATAAAATGTGGGAATACTTCACGTTATGGCTGTAGGTTTTTTCAGTTATTTTCCATCAAATTTAAATATTTTGAACACTATCCTGACTTGAACTAACTAACCTAACCTGCAATATATAAAAATGTGGAGTAAAATAATAAAAAGACCACCAAGCAAACCTTTAAAATCTTCACTCTGATTTCCAGCTCATAGACTTTGTTTTTCGCTGCTGCAGCCATCAAGTGAAGTATTGCCTAAAATGTTATCGTATAATTTTTATTACGATCATTCAAAGAACATCTTTGGAAAAAATGACATAAATTGAACAACTCATTCTGGTGTTAGCCTTCTGCTCCACCATTACCCTCAATTATTATGCATTTCACTAAACTTTTATTATCACTGCAATGAAAATTTTGGTTCTTTATGTCTAAGTCATTTGCCAGTGTTTATGGAATACTGTAATTATTGATCATATAATTAACAAATTCCTATAAATGAGTTGAAACGAACTTCAAGATTTAACATTATTTCACTTGTTGCCACTATATACGAATCTCGGGAATTTTATAGTTGCAATCAGTAATTTTGACAATTCTAAGATACATTTCTTCAATGAGATTTCTGGGACAAATTATGTTTAAGCAAACTATTTCACATTTTACTAAGGCAGTACACATCCAGAACATTGAACGGCTGTGGAGCCAAAAGGTTAGGTTAGATTCAAGTGTTTTTCCGATGTTTTTAACACTTTTTAGCTTGATTTTTATAGCAAATCTCTGGACTCTGACATGGGATGAGGGTTGGGGGGCTTATCTCAAGACACCACTGATCTGTGTCATAAATGAAAGCTAAACTCGTTCGTGAGACATGAAACAAAAAGACAGTGTAACTTGGATTTCTTATAGCGGCAACAAGTGAAAATTTACCACTTTAACTTCATATTTATCCTAATGATTTGTTTATAACAAAATCATCCCAAAACCGAGATAATATTAACGCCACTGGGTAACTTACGTACTCAATCATTTTCACGGATGCACCCCATATCGTCACCAATCCACTTCATCACCAAAACCCCATTTCGTTACCAATATCAAATCCGTTTCGTCACCACCAACAGTAGCTGGTGACAAATTGTAAGTTTTTGGTCAATTTATAGAATCACACAGGTCTTTATTTTGATATGAAAAATAGGTTTTTCCTATGTACTGTATTTTCATGAGTTTCGAACGAATTTGATATTCATTTCTACCGGAAATCACGTTTTATTTTTTTAGATAACCCCCGCCACCCAACAATCATAACAGAAAAGTTGGATTTTTTTTTTAGAATAAATAACAAATTATATTGCAAACCAACCACGAAAACCTAACCCCACCTAACCCGTTGTTCATGCCCCAGACGATTAAAGAGTGAAGACGGAGGCCTGGAGCAGGGGTCAGACCACCTCTGCCATAACTAAACAAATCATGGCGACACTTGTGACTGAGCGAAAGTAATCATCTTGAAAAATTAATATCTCGGTTATCCTTAATTTCCGGTGGAAATATATTTGAAGAAAAATGTCTTAGAAATGTAAACATTACGAGATACATATTTTTAATACGAAACAAAGACCGGTGTGATACTATAATTTGACCGTTATTATTTTACACGAATAGAAATTACACATGTATACAGACGACCCGAGAAGTATTGCATTATTATTATACGAGATATTAATTATTTAATAAAGAAAACGATTAAAACATTGGTATCTTAACACAATACAGAACAAATAAGTAATTTGGCACCAGCACATAAAGCACCGAGCAGTGAGATAATTGCAGGCGTATTAACATGTTTATATTATTTATTTTTGTCTTTAATAAATTGTCTTAGTGTTTTTTACTGTTTTCTATCCCAAACAAAATATTTTTGTGTATATATTGATGGGAATGAACAGTGACGAAACGGGTAAAAAAGTGGTTATGAAAATGGTTAAAAATAGTGGTGACTAAACGGGTTGGTGACGATATGGGCAGACCCCATTTTCACTATTGGTCGGCTCTCAAACTATAAATTTTCGACCAATTTAGGATAGTAGCCAGGTTTCGGTTAGGTTAGGAAGCTTAGCACCAAAAACGAAGCTCATATTTGTTCGAATCAACATAACCAAAGGGCTTATTGCTGGACTGAATTAAGGTGTGAAAGTAGACCTTTGAATACTGCCAGTACTTAAATGTTAGTTAATACAATCAGGAACTGTACGTAGTAGTGGGCCCTGAAACGTTTCCATCAGAGTTCACAAGGACGAGTTTTAACTTAGGTATACAGACAACGATAACAAGACTCGTCACTGAGACCCGAAACACAAACCATGTAACATTTACCCGAGAATGATTTACGCTTCTCTTAATGTAAAAACGTTGTATAGGTGTTATTACGTCACAGCCAGCGAGTCAGCGACCAACACCAACAACCACATTGCCGGCGAACAACACCAACAACCACACTGCCGGCGAACAACACCAACAACCACACTGCCGGCGACCAACACCAACAACCACACTGCCGGCGACCAACACCAACAACCACACTGACGGCGAACAACACAAACAACCACAATGCCGGCGAACAACACCAACAACCACACTGACGGCGAACAACACCAACAACAACACTGCCGGCGAACAACACAAACAACCACACTGCCGGTGAACAACACAAACAACAACACTGCCGGCGAACAACACCAACAACCACACTGACGGCAACAACACAAACAACAACACTGCCGGCGAACAACACAAACAACCACACTGCCGTGAACAAAACAACAACAACACTGCCGGCGAACAACACCAACAACCACACTGACGGCGAACAACACAAACAACCACACTGCCGGCGAACAACACCAACAACCACACTGCCGGCGAACAACACCAACAACAACACTGCCGCCAACAAACAAACACACTGCCGTGAACAACACCAACAAACACACTGCCGGCGAACAACACCAACAACCACACTGCCGGAACAAATAATTAACAACCATACCTGCCGGGGAACAACACAAACAACCACACTGCGCTAACAACACCAACAACTACACTGCCGTGAACAACACCAACAACCACACTGCCGCAGTAACAACACAAACAACCACACCGCCGCGGCTAACACCAACAACCACACTGCCGGGTAACAACACAAACAACCACACTGCCGGGCGAATCAACACCAACAACCACACTGCCGGCGAACAACACCAACAACCACACTGCCGGGCGAACAACACCAACAACCACACTGCTGAACAACACCAACAACTACACTTGCCGGGCGTACCAACACAAACAACCATACACTGGCAAGTGAACAACACCAATAACCACACTGTCGTGAACAACACCAACAACCACACTGCCGAGCAACACAAAACAACCACACTGCCGGTGAACAACACAACAACCACACTAAGCCATAACAACACCAACAACCACACTGTCAGTCAACACACAAACAACCACAGCTAGCGCACTAACACTAACAACAACACTGCCGGCGAACAACACCAACAACCACACTGCCGGCGGATCAACACAAACAAACACACTGCCGCGAACAACACCAACAACCACACTGCCGCCAACAACACCAACAACCACACTGCCGAACAACACAACAACCACACTGACGCGAACAACACAAACAACCACACTGCCATGAACAACACAAACAACACACTGCGGCTAACAACACCAAACAACCACACTGCCGGCGAACAAACAAATAACACTGCCGTGAACAACACAAACAACCACACTGCGGCGAACAACACAAACAAACACACTGCCGGGCGAACAACACCAACAACCACACTGCCGCTAACAACAGACAACAACCACACTGCCGGCGAACAACACAAACAACCACACTGCCGGCGAACAACACCAACAACCACACTGCCGGGCGAACAACACCAACAACCACACTGCCGGCGAACAACACAAACAACCACACTGCCGGTGAACAACACAAACAACCACACTGCCGCTAACAACACAAACAACCACACTGCCGGCGACCACCAACAACCACACTGCCGCGAACAACACCAACAACCACACTGCCGCAACAACACAAACAACCACACTGCGGCGATAACACCAACAACCACACTGCCGGCGCAACACCAACCACACTGCCGGAACAACACAAACAACCACACTGCCGGCGAACAACACAAACAACCACACTGCCGGTGAACAACACAAACAACCACTGCCGACGAACAACACAAACAACCACTGCGGCGAACAACACCAACAACCACACTGCCGGTAACAACACCAACAACCACTGCGGCCAGCAAAAACAACCACACTGCGGCGAACAACACCAACAACCACACTGCGGCGACCAACACAACAACCACACTGCCGGCGAACAACGCAACAACCACACTGCCGTGAACAACACCAACAACCACACTGGCGAAACAACACAAACAACCACACTGCCGTGAACAACACAAACAACAACGCGTGAACGCACAACAACCACGCGGCGTGAACAACATAAACAACCACACTGCGGGCAACACAAACAACCACTGCGCCGGAACACACAACAACCACGCTGGGTGAACAACACAAACAACCACTGCCGGCGAACAACAAAACAACCACACTGCGTTGAACAACACCAACCACCACACTGCCGGCGAACAACACCAACAACCACACTGCCGGCGAACAACACCAACAACCACACTGCCGGCGAACAACACCAACAACCACACTGACGGCGAACAACACAAACAACCACACTGCGGCGAACAACACAAACAACAACACGCGGCGAACAACACCAACAACACACTGACGGGAAACAACACAAACAACCACACCTGCCGAACAACACAAACAACCACGCGACGTAACACCCACACTGCGGCGAACAACACAAACAACCACACTCGCCGGTGAACAACACCAACAACCACACTGCCGGCGAACAACACCAGCAACAACCACACTGCCGGCGATAACACAAACAACACTGCTGACACAACAACCACACTGCCAAGCGACCACAAACAACCACACTGCCGGCGAACAACACCAACAACCACACTGCCGGCGAACAACACCAACAACCACACTGCGGCGAACAACACAAACAACCACACTGCGGTGAACAACACCAACAACCACACTGCCGGCGAACAACACCAACAACCACACTGCCGGGAACAACACAAACAACCACACTGCGGCGAACAACACAAACAACCACACTGCCGGCGAACAACACAAAACCACACTGCGGCGAACAACACAAACCACGCGGCGACACACCCAACCACACTGCGGCGAGAACAACACCAACAACCACACTGGCGAACAACACAACAACCACACTGGACACAAACAACCACACTGCCGGCGAACAACACAAACAACCACACTGCGGCGAACAACACCAACAACCCACTGCGGCGAACAACACCAACAACCACACTGCCGGGAACAACACAAACAACCACACTGCCGGCGAACAACACAAACAACCACTGCCGTGAACAACACCAACAACCACACTGCCGGCGAACAACACCAACAACCACACTGCCGGTGAACAACACCAACAACCACACTGCGGCGAACAACACCAACAACCACACTGCGGCGAACAACACAAACAACCACACGCCGGGAACAACACAAACAACACACTGCGGCGAACACCAACAACCACACTGCCGGCGAACAACACCAACAACCACACTGCGGTGAACAACACAAACAACCACTGCCGGCGAACAACACAAACAACCACACTGCGGCCGAACAACACGAAACAACCACACTGCCGACGAACAACACCAACAACCACCTGCCGGCGAACAACACTAACCACACTGCCGGCGAACAACACCAACAACCCACTGCCGGCGAACAACACCAACAACCACACTGCCGGCGAACAACACCAAACAACCACACTGCCGTGAACAACACCAACAATACACTGCCGTGAACAACACAAACAACCACACTGCCCGGGCAACCAACACCAACACTGCCGGCGAACAACACAACAACCACTGCTGCGGCGGAACAACACAAACAACCACACTGCCGGCAGACCAACCAACAACCACACTGCCGGCGAACAACACCAACAACCACACTGCCGGCCGAACAACACAAACAACCACCGCGGCGACCAACACCAACAACCACACTGCCCGACCAAACAGCACCAACAACCACACTGCCGGCGACAACACCAACAACCACACTGCGGCGACCAACACAACCACACTGCCTGCGAACAACACCAGCAACAACCACTGCGGCGAATTAAACACAACAACCACACTGCCGGCGAACAACACAAACAACCACACGCCATTGAACAACACAAACAACCACACTGCCGTTGAACAACACATAACAACCACACAGCACCAACAACCACACTGCCCGTGAACAACACAAACAACCACACTGCCTGCGACCAGCACCAGCAACCACAGCCGACAGCGCAACAAGCCCCGAAAGAAGTGAGAAATGCAGAGAGACCTGACAGTTGTAGTGTGGGGTACGAGATGTTTGGTTCACACTCAGGATGGGATGGAGAAAGGAAACTCACAATGTGCTCTCTGTATACATATTGTGTTGGATGTACAGTGCAGCTTCGTGCTGGGAAGGCAGCATAGTTACAAGCGTGATGTAGACAGAGCTGGTTGGTGAGGGTGCTCAGAGGAGGACAGCTTGTGGGTCGCCATGCTCGCCGGCGGGAGCGAGGGCCGCCAGGCAGTGGCGGAGGAGGTGGTGTAGCTTGTTGCGGCTATAGCTAGAAGAGGAGAGTTGGTTGGTGAAGATGCTCAGAGGAGGACCAGCTTGTGGGTCGCCATGCTCTCCGGAGGGAGTGAGGACCGCCAGGCAGGCGGAGGAGGAGGTGTTGCTGGCTGGTTGGTGTAGGTAGAAAGAGAGCGGTCACCACGAGGTCAGGTCTTAAATAGCGGGTGGTAGGCGTGGCTTAGTAGTTGACCTCCGTGATGTATGGCGGCGCTGGTTGACCCAGACCACGAGGCATACACTGGGGAATTCGCGGGGTCGGCTACACAGCGACAAACAGCGTTTGTAGGGGAGAAATCCACTAGAATACTCCCTCCTTCCCTCCAGGCGGTGTAGGAGACTTGTTGTCTGCAGGGTTGCATGGCACATGTGAGGCAGAACGGGCGGTGCATGGCATATGTGAAACATAACGGCGAGGGAGTAGATGAGCCGGCCGCTAGAGACAACTGTCTAGATACGCAATATCTGTGGGAGTAGAGAGGGAGAAAAAGGGTGTGTGGAGGCGATGAATGTTGTGCTTCCCTCACGGCAGGTAGAGTCGTCAGATGCTCCTGCTGGGGTGTGTGGGCCTGGGTCAGGAGCAGGGGCTGCGTCAGCAGAAGCGGATGAGGGTACTGCTGGGCCGGGGCGGAGTCTGAGGCAG